GTCACGTCGCGTCCGGCCGTTGAAGGCCTCGACGCGCGCGCCGGCCGCGAAGGTCGCGGGCGCGGCGGCCGCGGCGGCGGGCTCGGGCGCCCCGACGGGCGCGCTGGGCGTCGCGGCGGCGGGCTTGGGCGCCTCGACGGGCGCGCTGGGCGTCGCGGCGGCGGGCTTGGGCGCCTCGACGGGCGCGCTGGGCGTCGCGGCGGCGGGCTTGGGCGCCTCGACGGGCGCGCCGGCCGTCGCGCCGGCCGCTGCGGGTTTTGGCGCCTCGACGGGCGCTTCGGCGGGAAGGGGCTCCGTGGCCTCCGTCGGCGCCTCGATGAGCGCGCCGGGGGCGCAGGTCGTGGCAGCCGTCGACGCGACGGCTGCGGATCGTGCCAAGTCCTCGGGTTGCATCTCTAGGCTGCTGCTCCCGAGGGGCCTTGAGCTCTACCCATAAGCTGACCCCGGGAGAGCACCACAAGGTTCATCAGCGAGTCGACATTTACTCGGCCCCGACCCACACACGACTGCGAATGGCAGCCCCCGATCCTCCTCGACGGCGGTGGGTGCCCGCCGTGATCGCCGCTGTAATAGCGTCGACGCTCGTGGTGGGATTCGCGAGTCGGCGGAAGGACAGATCCGCGGCGGCGCGTCTCTCGGCGGTGCTGCCCCTCGCCGAGGATGTGTCCATGTACAGCTGTACGGTGGAGGCGAGCGCGATGAATACACGAGCGGCGCGTGGGGGACCTTAACAGGAGACTGGTACGCCATCGTCGAGAACGTCGACTTCGAGGTCGAGTGCTTGAGGGCCCATTTCGAGGAGGAGGGCTCCGACGACGCCCGCCTCGCGACGTCGTCGTTCTTCAGCGTCGGCGAGAAATCGTCGCGGATCTTCGACTTCAACGCGACCTACGCGCTCCGCGACAGCGGGCGCTACAAGATGACATATCCGAGCGATGACGCCGCGGAGCGGAGGTCCTGGGCCACGGTCTTCGACGTCGGCACCTTCGAGGGCGAGCGCTGGTTCGGCTGGTACTTTTGCAGCGACATGCTCGACATCACGGCCAAGGGCTACGCGGCGATCTACAAGGAAGGGTCGTCCGCGTCGGACGCCTTCGTCCGCGAGGCGCGGGACAAGCTCAAGGACGCGGGCCTGCTCCGCTACGGCGATTTCTACAGGGTGAAGCAGTTCAGGTGCGACGACGCGTTTTAAGTGTCCGGTTCGAACATGAGCTCCGTGCGGATGGCGTACTTGACGCCGCGCGTCACGAGCCGGCCCTCGTGGAGCAGGTCGTGGTCGAAGTAGAGCAGGCGGCCGACGCGCGGCACGACGTCCTCGTAGTCCTCGGGCGCGCCGCGGCGGTCCTTGCCGACGAAGCGCGTCTCGCCGCCGTCGAAGTCGCGGCCGCCGTCGTTGAGGTAGATCTGGACCGTGACGAAGGACGTGAGCCCGCGCCGCGAGAACGCGGCGTCGCGGTGCGCGTCGAACGCGTCGCCGGACTCGTAGCGGAGCACCTGTGTAGATTCCAAATCTTCAACCCGACTTCAATGTGCGCGTAATCGAACGGTTTGGACCAGACTCTTTCGCTGTGCTTCGAGAACCCGACGAGAGCAATCGATTCGTCCAAAAATCAGCCAAATCGACTTCGATTTGACGGAGCTAGAGAGTTCTGAAGTTTGGTGTGGGGACCCCCCAAACCAGTGGTTGGAATCCACACTGCGGAGCACGCGCATGTGGGAGTTGATGCCCACGGCGCGCCACGTCGACCCGTCGTTTGCCTCCCAGAACCGCGGCAGGTGGCGCCGGCAGCGCTCCCAGAGGCTCGCGGCGCAGCGGCCGTCCTCGACGATGACCTTGGACATGCGCTGCTTCGCCTCGTACCGCGCCCGCAGGAAGCCGCGGCGCCGCGCGGCCTCGACGAAGGCGCCGCACTCCGCCAGCGTCAGGACGCCGTCGACGGCCCCCGCGACGGACCCGCGGCGGCAGTCCGCGGCCGCGACGGCCGCGCCGTCGGGCAGGCGGAGCGCCTTGGGCACGACGGCCCTCCGCGGCGCCCACCAGCCCAGGGCCCCGAGCGGCGGCGCGTGGGCGCCCGACCGCTCGCGCGCCGCCTCGCTGCGCACCTTCTCGGCCTGGAGCCGCAGGAGCGGGTCCGTGCGCCGCAGCGCGTGGAACCGGCGCCCCGGGAGCTCCGACGTCGTCGGCCGCGGCGGCGCCGCCGCGGCCGCGCGGTCCCCGAAGCAGGTCCGCGGCCGCGCGAGCGTCGTCGGCGGCCGGAAGGCCACGGCGGGCGCCGCGATGGGCACGGCGGCGACGGGCGCGACGGCCCGCGCGGGCAGCGCGGCCGCGACGGCGACGGGCGCGGGCCGCACCTCGATGGGCCGCGCGGCGATGGGCGCGAGCGCGGGCTTGTGCGGCGCGGCCCAGAGCTTGCGCGTGAAGTGGACGCTCCGGCCCTCGCAGAGCGAGCTCAGGATGTCCACGAGGTCCGCGCGGCCGTCGCTGCCCTTGGGCACCCGCGACCACTTGGCCTCGTCGAAGTCGTAGGGCTGCCCGTCGCAGGCCGCGATGGCGTCGGCCTCCGAGTAGCGCGACCGGTACCGCGCCGACGACCCGGCGGCGCCCATGGGCTGCGCCTAGCGGGCCATGCGCGGCGTCAAAGGTCCCGAAGAGGCGGCCCCAGCGCCGAGCTATCCAGTGTCGATATCCCGCACATGTTGAAGGTCAACTCGAGGTAAACTCGAGGCATGGTTTACCTCGGCCGGATCTCGTCGATGAGATCCGCCCACTTCTTCGCCAGGGCGGCGCGGGAGAACTCGGCGGCCTTGACGTCGCAGCGCGCGCGGAGCTGCGCGTAGTAGGCCGGGTCGCGCTTCATCTTCGCGAGCGCCGCGAAGACCGCGTCCGGCGTCGCGTCGACCTCGACGAAGTCGAGGTCGTTCGTGCGGAGGCTCCGCGGCGCCGACTCGCGGCCCAGGATGGCCGGGACGCCGGCGAGCCAGGCGTTGATGATCTTCGACGGGGGCTTGGCGACGTGGAGGCCCGGGTCCGCCTCGCGGACCGCGACGACGACGTCCGCGGCCGCGTAGTCGCGCCACTCCTGGGCCCGGCCCTTGTGGACGACGTCGAGGTCGACGCCGAGCTCGTCTTTGAGCTTCCTCACAAAGGCCGGCGCCTGGAGGGCCCGGTCGAGCTGGTGGCGGCAGCCGACGAAGACCGCGCGCGTCACCGCGTCGCCGCGACTCCGGTCCCGGGGCTTGAGCCCCTGCTGGGGGAACATGGGCAGCCAGTGGGCCTGCTTCGGGTGGGCGACGGCGGCGATGGCCGCGCCCGGCGACGAGAAGTACTGGCGCTCGTTCTGCGCGAGCACGTGGAGCCCCGCGCCCATCAGACCGTCGACGTCGAGCTTGCCCGAGTCCGCTAAGGCGACGAGCGCGGCGCCCCGCGGCCCCAGGAAGTCGGCGATGGCCTTCGGGTCGCCGAGGTAGGGCGCGTTGAAGCCGCAGAGCACGTTGACGGCGCCGGCGACGCACCGGGGCGCGAGGTCGACCGCGTGGCCCGCCGCGCGGAGCTCCATGTACGGCGGCACGACCCAGTTGCCGCCCCACAAATCCGCGTAGTCCCGGGGCCCGCTGCCGTCCTCGCACATGGCCCGCAGCGCGTCGGCGAAGGGGTGGACGAAGACGGCCGTGGCGCTCGTCTTCGGCGGCGGCCGCGGCGCGCCGAGCGTCGCGACGACGGTGCCGGCCTCGGGCATCTCGTCGTGGTCGCGGGAGAAGCGCACGTTCCCAAAGTCGAAGAAGGGCATCTCGAGGCCGGGCCCCAGGGCCTTGTTCCCCGGCTGCTTCGCGCCGAGGCACGTCAGCGCCGCGCTGCAGTAGAGCACGTAGCCCTGGCCGACCTCCTCGACGGGCCCCGCGACGAGCGCGCGCGGGTGCGTCGCGAGGACCTGCATCGACGCGAGGAGGCTCGGCACCATGCGGTTCACGAGCTCCGCCTTGGCGTCCGGCCCGCGGGGCTTGGGCGGCGGTTGCGGGGCCGCCGCGGGCGGCTGGGGTCGCGGCGCCGCCACGGGCTGCGGGGGCTGCGGCGCCGGCTGGGGCTTGGGCGCCGCGGGGCTGCCCTTCGCCTCGGCGCGCTTCGCCGCCCGGCCGCCGCCACTCGCGGCCTGCTTCTCGCGCCGCTGCTTCACAAAGTCTTTGAAGGAGCTCATCTGCACGCTTTTATTGCCGGGCTGCCATCGCGGAGACCATAGGCCACTCGCTTGGTTCAAGGTCGATGAGATAGGTCGATGCTGGCATTGTTGCACCCGAATCCACCGCCGATCGGGATGGACTCGGAGAAGCAGCTCTCGCCGAGCGCCCTGGAGGCGGCGGTGAAGCCCTCGCCGCCTGCGTCTGTGTCGCCGCGGGCGCGGGCCGCGGCGCCGGCGCGGCGCTTCGAGGTCGGCGACCGCGTGCGCGCCAAGTACCAGCGGGGCCGGCTCTTCTTCCCCGGCGTCGTGCGGGTCGTGCAGGAGGTGCGGATCGGCGACGCGTGCGGGCCCATCGACTTCCGCTACGACATCGCCTACGACGACGGCGACTACGACCACGCCCTGGAGGCGGCCTACGTCAAGCCGCCGAAGCGCGCGGTGTCCGAGGCCGGCGAGCCGGCGCTCACGCCCGCGGCCGCGCCGTCGCCGCGCGAGGCGCCCGCCACGACGCCGCTGCCGCCGAGCCTGCCGCCCACGGTCGCCGCGCCGGCGCCGCGCGAGTCGCCCGCACCGTCCGCGGCGGCGCCGCCGGGGG